CAAGTTGACAGATATTTTGGGGGGACACAATTCAATCCATGACAACAATGATAGAGACTAAAGGGGGATCAGCATAGTCTAAAAAAGTCATGCCCTTTGACTCAGTAATTCTACCTCTGGAATCAACTCAAAATATAGCAAAAGTTTTATAAACAGAACTGCTTATTTCATGGTATCTACAAGTAAATTATGTTAATCAATACAACTGTGGTGGCATTACAAAATGACATGGAAAAATGCAGGAGCCATAACTACAAACAAGTATCGTAATTCACTGTATCAGGAGAAGTTATTTAAAAAAGAAAGGGAAAGGAAAAAAAACAAACAAACTGATCTTTCCCCTCCCCTTCCCCAGGAAAAAAAAGAGGCCAACATTGTGTTTGTAGGGGCACATTACAGAGGGTTATGCTAAAACCAAACCAAATCAAACCCACTGCTGTTGAGGTGCTTCTGACTCACAGCAACCCTGTAAAACTGCCCCATAGGTTTTCCAAGGCTGTAAACTTTACGGAAGCAGAATGCTACATCTTTCTCTCACAGAGCGGCTGGTGGGTTCAAACTGCCAGTTTTTCGATGAGCAGCCAAGCCCTTAACCACTGCACCACCGGAGCTGTCCCAAAGGTGGAATAGAGAGACGAAGTGCTGTGAGTAGAAGAAGTGAAAACAACCTGCCCAGAGTAAAAGTTTGGAGCTTTGTAGACAAGAGGAGTCTACAATCCAGGGCCTCACCACCCTCAGCATACCAGATGGAGGAATAGCTGAGAGTCACTGACACTTAGGAAATCATGTGCCCTTTACGAAACAAGAATACCACAGCATTGATAGTGATGTTTGATTCATATTTGCCTGGCTATTAACCCATTGCCGTTGAGTCAACACAGCCGAGTGCTTCAACCACAACACCACCAGGGCTCCTCTATATTCACCTGCAGAAAATGTAATTAGTAATTTGGAAAAGGCTGGCTAACTGATAGCTAATAAAAGATATCAATTCCATAAAATTCTGTAAGCCTCCATACAAACAAAATATGATATATCCATACAATGGAATATTATTTGGCCATAAAAAAGAATGAAATACTGATACATGCTACAACAAGGATGGAACTGAAGACATTATGCTAAATGAAAGAAGACAGTCACAAAAACCATATATTGTTTGATTCCATTTATCCGAAATGTCTAGAGTCGGAATCGACTCAATGGCAATGGGTTTTTTTTTTGTTTTTTTAATAGAGACAGATCAGTAGTTGCCTAGGGCTGGAGGAACTGGAGGGTTTGAGGGAGTAATGGCTAACAGGTGCAGAGTTTCTTCTTGAGATGATGAAAAGGTTCTAAAAATAATTGTGGTGACAGTTGTACAGCTCTGTGAATACA